CACAAATGAGGTAAATGCAGGATGACAAAGCTGGTTCAAAAGAGAACACGAGAAACAGGGGGATGTTTACAGTTTGTAGGAAAAACAACAAGATGAAATCGCCATATTAGACACAAATTTGGTTAAGGTCCCGCAGGGCCAAACTGCTGTTCCTCTTGGGGCGATTTTCCTACTGGACAGAAAAGAAAGTCATGTGGTTTCGGTTTTACAGAACTGCAAAATGCTTGTGCCCTGATCAATCGGGTACACAAAGGCGCTCTGGCAAATGCTGCAGTGTGCAGTCACCTTTTGGCCTTACTCAGAAGTAAGTTTTGGGATCATTGTACTTTACACGACCCGATGCACGCTATGTTTTTATGTTTTTTGCCTTTGGCCTCAGCTAGTATTGGATTCCATGAGGGCACGGATGTGAGATGTCTTGCCCCCTGCTTTCTCCCAGGCACCCAGTCAACATCTAGCATATGGAGAGTGGTGGACAAATATTTGCAGAATGACAGGGTGTGTCAGGCTTGGGTTTGCATGACGCCAGTCCTGTCCCCATGAAGCTCACCATCTGTGAGGGAGGCATGCGGGGAAACGTAACCATTACACCAAGTTTTAAAAGGGTCGTATCACAGAACGCTCAGGGGCTGTGGACACCTGGGGAAGGCTTTCTGAAAGAAGAAAATGAGAGGGGCTGGGTGAGAGGGGTCTCAGAGGGTGGGGGCGTTGCTAAGAATGTGGTGCATTCTGGGAGGAAGGAATTCAGTGTGGCGGACAGGATGGGGCTGGAAAGGTAGGCAGAGGCCAGACCTTGAGGGCCTAGTGGGCTCTGCAAAGGGGTTTGCGTTTTAAGCAAAGACCTCTCATGGCAGCTGTCTGCAGTAGAGCCTTGACATTCATGACTGATATCCCGCCTGAGAAGCAAGTCTCCGAATTCACTCGGATGTAGGTGTTCACAGCAGGAAGATTTTCCATTATATTTACATGCTGAAGAATAAGTATTTTCAAAGGTCTCACACATCTGCTCCAAGTATCCTTCTACTCAATCTTCCCTTGGTGAAGGGGGTGGCGGGGGGCCTTCATAAACTTCCGAAGACAGAGTTGCCCGAGTCAGAAAGCTGGGTGTCACCCAGGGCCCCTCTCCTTCCTGTACCTGCCCCTCCACTTCTACCCTTTCTATTCCTCCCATCAATGAGGAAATCACATGACCGAATGCCAGACTAGGCTGACAAGAATGAGGGCCTGTGTGGGGACAGAGATCAGGGCCATCCCCAAGGGTCAAGGGCACTTTTCACTACTCAAGCCCATTAACCTCTAAAGTAGCATAGCCCTTGCTGGTTCCAACAGAGGGCTGAAATGCACAGAAGTATCGGATTGATATCAGTCTGTTGGTAGACAGGCTGTAACATCACTTAGTAGTTCACATGATTTAAAAGCCACCAGTTGGCTGACTGGTATTGCTGGGCAGAATCACTAACCGATGTCGGGTAAGCAGATCCTTGCTGACACCTGCTTTGGGACACTGCACGGAGCTGCCATGAGACAAGCAGCACCACCTGGAAGGTCTCCCTGGTTTGAGCTGGAATCCGGGGTTGAAACTCCTGCTCTTTCCAATGTCGGTGGCGCTATTGTCTCCTGGGCAGGTGCACTGGCCAAGTGGCAGGGGTGGGTTCCAACTGGCGGTCCCTCCCAAGATGCAGGGGGCTGCAACCTAAGTGAAAAGTCCATTCACTTAGCTTTCTAGGAGCATGCAGGACAGGAAACACAGCATGGACAGAGGTGTCATCTCATTGAGAGGACCATGCACACAGCTTTTTTGCTCCTGTACCCATGGGGGGCACATGTGGCTGCTGTGGCTGAGGGCCAAGACGTGTGCAGGCCACTTTGACACAGAGATGGCAAGCTGGGTCTCCTAGTGACGTTCCATGTCAGTCATGTAAGGCCAAGGTCTGCCTGTCAACTTACAGCTCCCCAAGTCCAGGCCATTCCACGCATAAGGGTCTCACTGCAAATGGGCAGGCACCATGGTCTTCACTCTATGAAGAACTTGGTCTCTGAGGTTGCTTCCCCAGGAATCATGTCTCCTGCTGCCGGCAGCCCACAGGGTGTCTTGTTGGAGTTGGGGTCGGCGGTGTGTAGGATGGCTTGGCTATTCCTCTGAGGGCCTTTTAGGTCCCCAAGGTGACTCTCACGTGTAATGCGGAGCCTGAATTTAAGGCAGGCTGATTCCACATGCCTTTTCACATTTGCTCTTTGCCCAGCTACTACTGAAGGATACAGAAAAAAGAGGGAGCACTTTATTTGCAGAGAGAAGTACAGATTGCTCACAAAGACTTCTCTAGCAGGTGATGACGCTACGCCACAGCGTGCAAGCTGAAAATGCTCCCAAGCCAAAAAACTGTATTAGGATAATACCTGCAATCTATTGAAAACTTCCCTGGCACATCTTATGTGGATTATCTAATATAATCCTCACAATAACTCTGCGTAAAGACGGGAGTCTTACCATTTCACAGACGAGGAAACCAGAGGCTCAGAGAGGCTAGGCCACTTGTCCCAGGTTGTCTGGCTGGCCTGGGGCAGAGCCTGGATCAGAAGCTGCTCTGCCCATCCCGAGTTTGTGCTCTTAACCAGGAATGATGTGTCCCAGCCCTGCTGCTCATGGTGATTGCTGGACCAGCAGCGCCAGCACCCCCTGGCGGCTGGTTACGTTCCAGCATGAAGCCCCACCAGGAGGACCTGAGTCAGAATCTACATTTTGGCAAAACCCCAGGTGACTTGGGTGCACAGTAATTCGAGAAATGATGGGGGCCACAGTATCACTGTTGGCTTTACTAAATCTTTCCTGGAAAGGCTTGGACAACCAAGTACCCTCCTTGAGCCATATATTCTCTGAAAACGTTATAATGTGTAAAAAACAAACAAACAAACAAGTGCAATGGTCTATCTAGGTTAATTCCCTAGCAGAACATTTTGATGGTTTGATGATTCGGAAATATTGCTGCCAAACAAGAACTTCTGGAAACTCAAGCAAAGCCATAAAACACAGTGAGAAGGGGGCATTTTGCCTCCGAGAAGTGAAAATCTGACAATGCTTTGAATTATAGTGGATCCGGATTAATTCCAGGCCCCACTTAGAGGAAGCTTTCAGGCCGAGTGCTTTAGACATGAAAGCACTCACCCTAATGCGCCAGGTGAAAGGCATGACGCCTCTACTGCTTGGTGCCAATTACATTTATGGGCTTGTCCCCAGGAGTGCCAGGAAAATGTCAGTTAGTGCTGACACATCACCAGCTGGGGGCTCTGTCTCATGGGGCTCTGTTTCCAGGACTTGTTATTAACGTACCTCGTTGTGATCTGCAACTCTGTTCAATGATGGCAACAAGTCTATCAGGGATGGTTTTGTGTAGGAACCTCGGAAAACAGTAAGAGCTCCAAGGCTACGCTTCTCGAACCCCTCGCTGTGCACAAATCACCGGGGTCTTGCCCAAGAGCAGATTCTGAGTCAGGTCTGGGCCGGGGCTGCTGTTGCTGGAGGGCCAGGAAACTTGCTGTGGGAAAGGGATCGGGGGGAGCATGGGCTCTGAGCCCGGCTGCCACTTGGCATCCATGATGTCAGGCGGGTGGCCCAACTGCTCTGAACTTCATGTTCCTCGTATGTAAAATGGGGGTTGCTTCTGCTCTCTAGGGTCTTTGGAAGATTTAGAGATGGTGTGTGTGGATCTTCCCACTCCCAGAGGGGAGGGTGAGACTCCTTCTCTTGGGTCACCTTCTCTGCATGTTCAGCCAACACCCGTTTTTCTTGCCTAAAGAAGCTACTGTTCTTCCTCATCCGGATTTCTCGACCTTGGCATTCCTGTGCGTTACAGGATGTTTTAAGCAGCACCCCTGGTCTGTAGCACCCTCTCCCTGAGTTGTGGCAAGCCAAACCTTTCCAAACATGGCTAACCGCCCCCGGAGGCAGCAGTGCCTGACTGGGCAGCAGCGCCTGACTGGGCAGCAGCCTCCCAGGCAACAGTTCCTATTCAGTGTTCGTTCAACAGTACGTGTCGACTACGTACTCTGGGCCAGTGGCCTTCACAAATGTTAAGTGGGTGTAACCAGGCTGAAGTCCTAGGTGTTGGGAAGATGAAATGAGTTAATCTGGTGTCCAGATGGAGCCGGAGAGGCAGAGACGCCAGGAGGGTATCTGGACTGTGGGGGGGGCAGGCAGGGAGGGGAACTCATTGTCTGGTGCTGAGCAGCAGGACGGGGGGGGGGGGGGGGGGCGGTCTGCAGGGAGGGCCAAGGCAGCAGGAGGGTGGGACCTGAGCTGGGAAGGAAGAGGAGGGAGAAAGCAACAGGGAGGGGTTGAGATGGGAGGGGTGCAGACAGAGATAAGTGCATGTGATGCAACCAGAAAAGGGAGCCCAAGTGGAGGCGGGGAAGAAGCCCGGGCTCTGGGAGGAAACGCCACGAGGCAGATCATGGTGTGCACCCGAGTCAGCCACACGCGACCAGGAAGAGTGCTCGTGTCTGTTCTCAGCTCATCTGATTTTGGTTAGAAAGAGTTAAAACAGAAAATGAAGGCCTCTTTGCCAGCTCCTGCCACCTCCTCTGAATGGGCCCTGGCCAGAGGGACGGGGAAGGCAACGAGGCTTCTGTGCCTCATTCTGTGTAGTGTTATTACCGCAATTATGGCGACCATATTAAACACATCTGTAAGCACGTAACACAGGGGACCGCTAAATGCCACCGGCTGGTCCCCTGGGTCCCCCGCCCACCAGGACACCTGAAGTAATGGACTCAAGTGGAATCAAGCTGAGAACACCTGCCCAACCTGGCCACAGCTCTCGAGACATCCTGGCACACACATGACAAGCCGACAGCACGGACAACAGGCACCTAGATGGACTTCTAGCCCAGAGCAAGGACATTCTCTGGCTGCTGCTGGGAGGCAGCAACGGACTCCAGCAAACAGTCCTGGGGCATATAAAGTGCGTCTGCCACATTTTTAAAATGATCCAATCTCAAACACATTGTTTTATGAGCTTTCCATTTTATTAGAAACACATTCTAAGAACAGTCGAGAAGCCGTGCTTGTGGATGCGATGGGTCACATTATTGGTTCCACAAAGATCTTCCAGAGCTCCTGCAGGAAACAGAGAAAGTAGATTCCCAAGGTTCGCAAAGGAGACCTCACAACGTCAGAGAGGGAGTAATTAGCAAAGGAGAAGAGTCACCACGGGGCAGCACGCACGCTGCCGCAGGAGTGGGGAGCTGCTTCTGATTCTTCGTTGCTCTGGGCTGTTCTTTCTGCCCCACTATGGATGAAGAGCTGGATGGCTAAGTCCTGGCATTCATCCAAGACGCATCAGGACAGCACACGATCAAAATGGACCAGAAGAATGGCAGCAAGTCACAATTTTTCCATTTGGGGAGACTACAAGTGCCACGTCCCATGACTGCTGAATTTTGTTGAGGAGCTGATTTTCCTGGTCGTGTGCTGCTCCTTCTGACACGGCAGGTGAAGGTACAGATACACCAAGTTCTTAGTGGGGACTGAATCCTCACTGGCAGTAGACCGTTTGCCGTCTACAGGGAGACGGGCGGGCAGGAAGGTGGCCCAGAGGTGGCGTAGCCGCGAACAGAAGGCTGCTCCTCACACACGGCAACCACACAAATCCAGTGCTGTGCTTGCTTGGGGAGCGCGCGAGGGAGAGCCCTCTGTTACCCCTCATCCTCCCCTCTCCTCCTGAGAACTAGGACTGGTCCCCACAGACCCACCACAGAAGGGGCGGTCACAGCCAAGAGGCAAAAAGAACAAAAGTCATTCATTCCAGACCTTTGGACTTGCAGCTCCTGGTAATTATAAGGGATTTTCAAGGGTAATTTTGTTTCCCAGATTTCCCCCTATGAGCTGGGTTTAAAAACCGTAATAGGAAGTGATGTGGCTGCAGGATTAAGACCCAGCTCTGTCGCTGCCTGGTGGGGTGACTTACCTTGTCCCGGTATCCACCAAGGCAGGGGAGAAAGGAGCTCGGCCTGGTACCTGGCCTGTGTGCCGTTACTAGTATGATTACTCAGAGGCCTAGTTTGATGGACCCACTGTGCCTGGTCAGAAGGGCCATTGGTCATCAGCTAAGCCTGCCTAGTCTGAGAGGCCAGTGTATTCCCACAGTGAAGGTGTGGCCTCCAGGACTGGGGTTCCTACATCAAGAACCCCACCAAGTGCCCCCTCATTGCCTTCCTGTGTCACCAACCACCTCCTGTGCTCGGCCCTACTTCCTCTGGAGCCTGAACTGCCCGCAGGGAGAGAACAGGCTCTCAAGTCCAAGGCGACGGTTGGCCTACAGGCCCACCTGCAGACACAGTGACCCCTAAGAAGGGGAGAGCCCACCACAGCCTTCGGCTGCTCACACTCCTCTGCCTCGACAGCACAGGGTACGGTCCTGTGTCTGGAGGGCCCTGGGGTCAGCAGTGTCACGTGCAGCAACGATGGCCCGCACGCGGTGGGGCCACACCTACCAGCTGCTGGATGCGCTCATAGACAAGGAGCTGTGGGAAGGAGGCCTCCACCGGCTCCACCGCGAAGCGCAGCTGGCCGTCCGCAAGCCTCTCCAGCCGCTGCAGCCAGGAGCGGAAGTGGTCGTAGGCTTCACACGTGACGTCCAAGTGTCTGAGCGTGAAGTTCAGCCTGCAAACAAGCAGCCGACACACATGCCTCGCCTTCCGGCTGCTCCCTGGCCTCACTCCCCACCAGCGGATTTTCACTGAGCGCCTACTGTGTACCGAGCACTGGGTGCGCTTCCTTCCTGAATCTGAAGGAGAGCCCAGGAGGTGGACATATAGTCACTGCTTCTATTTTACAGACGTGGCAACCAAGGCTCAGAGAGGAGAAGTCAGGTGGCTAAGATACCACTACCCAAAAGACAGGCCCTGCCCTGAGCTACAAAGTAGAGCAGGAGGTGGATGCAGACCACCACCCACTGGCCTCCCCTGCCTCCCCCAGCAAAGAATCTGCACACGAGGTACCCATGACCATATCTGCAGTGAGTGTACAAAGGGCAGGGCCTGAGAGCAGTGGGTGGGCAGCCATCAGAGGGGCGACTTCAGAACACATCCTCCCGAGTCCTCCCAGCCCGGCCACTCAGCCACCTCTACACCCTAACCAGCAACACAATTCACGCTGAAACTCAAATTCTTGGCCTTTTCCCCTTTTATCTCCCAGATCTTTTATTACGAGAAATTTCTGACAGCATGATCAACTGTCCCAGCTTCAACCACTGCCAGCTCATGGCCGCTGTGGCCTCTGCCTCCTGCACACCCAGACTGGATTATTAAAAAGCTAATGCCAGCCCACAGTGTCTCCTCTGTAAATACAGCCACACGCAACTCGAAAAGATAAAGGATCCTCTGCTTCTTTGTTTCACCTAAAACAAATGTGATGATAATTCTTTAACATTCCAATATCCAGTCAGGGCTCTCGAGGTTTCCCTCTGCCTATAAAATCAGCATCCAGGCATGGTCCACATGCTGTCCTTGCTCACGTGTGCCGTGAAGAAGCACCTCGATATTATCCGTATAAACAACATTGTGATGGATATGCCCAGGTGGACAGTGCGGACACAGCTGTGAGCGCTTCCACAGGGTGAATTTCTAGATGCTGGACTGCTGGGTCAGTAAGTAGGGTCAGTTTCATGACTTTTTTTTTTTTTAAGATTTTAAGTAATCTCTACACCCAATGTGGGGCTGAACTCACAACCCCAGTATCAGGAATCACAAGCTCTACTGAGGCAGCCAAGTGCCCCGGTTTTATGGCTTTTGCTACATATTCCAAATTGCTTTCAGAAAAGTTGTGCCCTAGCAGAGAAATTGGAAAAAATAATGTAAAGTGTCCAGTACTGTGTCCACCATAAAATGGATACTCTGTCAATGGGAGCCCTAATGCTTCAGGATGTTCAAGTGCAAACGTCCTGGAGGGGCTCTGTCTGCACTGGGACATGGGGCCCTGAGGAGACAGATGACGTCCTGGAGGGGACATTCAGAAAGAGTGGCCACGTGTCCCCCGGCTCTGGAGCATGGCTGCGTTCAAGTGCTAGTCCGCTCACAGACCAGCCGTGACAGGGTCCCTGCTGCCCCTCAGCCTCTCTCTTCCCACTGGAGAGGTCAGGTGGGCTGGCCGGCGGGTAACGGGAGGCCCCGCGTGTAACGGACGGTACGCGCTGGCACACAGCAGGTGCTCAACGAGTGAGGGACGGGACGCTGCCGATGAGAGTGCGCTCGGAAGGGGGCGCCCGGCTCTCGGGGGCGCAGAGCTCACCTCTTCTCCACAGACAGAATGGCCGTGCAGGCGTTTTCCAGTCTGTGAACGAGGCGAGACAGCGTTTTAAACAGAGCGTCGGTTAGGTCATCGTCGTAAAACACTGCGGGGAAGGAAATGGGCGAGGGGAAAACGCAACCATCAGGGAGATCTGTCCCTCGGAGGACTCCCGGACACGGCGCCAGGTCCCCGTGAACGTGCAACGGCAGCAGCTCACATGCTGAAAACCGAGCGGGTGCAGTGGGGCACCTGGGAGGCCGGGCAGAGCTCCGCGGCGGGGCCCAGGCGCCGCTGTGACCAAGACGTCTTACCTTCAGCCGCGAGCAGGATGGTGGTGTGGCTATACAGGTCGGAGACATCCTCCTGAGACCAGCTGAAGGGGACCTCCGGGTCTGTGAAAGAAGAAAGGCCATGTTGCGCAAGTTCCTCTCTCTGTGGGCCAGCTCCGAGGCTGAGTGACGCTTCAGGAGAGGAAACAGAGCTGGGGGTAGCTCGGAACAGCGGGCATGGCCAGGCAGCTCTGAATCCTAGCGCCCCAGCTTGAGGGCCACGGCTCCCCACGCGGCTGCTAGGGGCTGCCTCCGCCATTGAGGAGCAGGCACTGCTGTCCTCATGAACTTGCCGTGTGACTCTGAGAAAGGTGTTCCACCTCTCTGGGTTTCAATTCTGCACCAGAATGGGCATAGTAAGGCTGCCCTCAAGGACTGCCGGGAGGGTAGGTGACCAAGCGTTTATACAAAGAGTGAACAAGCGTGCAGGTCTGAAAAAGCCTGTATAATAAATTTAGAAAACTCTCCCATGTAGTTGGCTCTGAAGCCACATGGCCGACTCCCTGCCACGGACAGAGGACAGAGAGCCATATTGGGAGGCTGCCTCCCAGTCCTGGGCAGGTGTTTAACCCGGAGCATCTGTCCTCACCTGTAACTTGGGGACTAATGTGCTTACTGTACAGGGACACCGCGAGTCTGAGTGACAGAGTGGGTAGAAGTGGCCAGCATTGGTCACTCAGCAGCCGATGGAGCAGACTGGCCGTGAGCTGAGGGACTGTGGCAATAGCCGGGAGCCTCTGCTCAGCCCAGGACACAGGGCTGACGTCCTGGAGGTAGGACGAGGGGCCGTGAGTCTGCCAGGACGAGGGACAAGAAGATGCGCACCTGTGCACAAGTCGTCTTTGAGCCAGTCCAGTTCTTTGACCTTAACTACACCACCTGCAAAAGCAAAACCAAGCAGAATGTCCAAACTCAAAACAGAGAAAAGGCTGACCCTTCCCATTCTATGCCCAAATCCCCCCGCCCCCCCCACCAACATCCTCTCCATGTCTCTCCTTCCCTGCAGCATTTTCTGAGCGCTAGGTCTCGGGTCTCACACCGGACACAGGGAATGCAAAGGTTTAGGAGGCGTGTCCCTGTCCTCGGGCACCAGCAGCCCAGCAGAGGTTGGCTGGCCAGTGCGCACCAGCCAGGCCATGCGGTCACGGCACTGTTGAGAGGACATGCCAGGGGCCCAGGAGAGACCAGCTCTGGTGGCAGACGGCGGTGTCAGGGAGGCTTCAAAAAGAACATGAGTCACACCTACTCCTCCCTTCCAGCTCTTGACGACTGGGCGTTCAACAAACAATGCGACGGGGCATCACACAGACAGGCCCCTGCCCCATGGAGCGCGTAGCCTAGTGGGGGGGGCAGATACCCATCAACTGGTCACATAGACGTCAAAATGCAACGGTTCGAGGTGAAATGAGGCTGTGGTAGGGAACTGTGACCTCGTCTGGAGGTCTGGGACCGTCAGACAGGCCAGGGCGGCCGGCACAGAGCGGGTCCTGTGAGGCAGAGGCTACTGATGGCAGGGACCGAACCCCGCAGGACCTGAGACAGGCAGAGGAGCTCAGTGTCCACTCAGAGAGCAACAGGAGACCACTGAAGGGTTTGAAGCCTGCGGGCTGGAATGACCTGATCTGAATGAAAGTGCCCCCCCCCGGAAGGCTGCTCGGAAAAGGTCTGGACAGGAAGTCCAGTGAGGAGTGGCTGCCCGCCATCTATCACGTCAAGGCAGAAATCCAACAATCAGGCAGATGGGCGTGGGGGGATGGTCCAGGCAGAGCCAAGAGCAAGTGAAATGAGTGCTCGGCTCGTTGGAGAGCAAGGCTATCAGGGTAAAAGGCAGGAAAAGCAGGCAGGGGTCAGACCAGGATGTTTGGGAGCCAGAGGGCGAGCTTGGACTCCAACCCTGAAGATTTTCTGTGGGGAGTGAAGAGTCTGGCTTGCAGGACATCCTGGGTGGGGCAGACAAGGAGCTGGGAGATCAGGTGGGGGCCGCTGTGATGTCCAGGAGGGAGAGAGCTGAAGCAGGACTCGGCAGTGGGTGTGGGAGGAGTGGATGACACAAGGACAGAGTCATCAGATCCGAAGCTCCGTGAAGCCACGATTGTGCTCCCTCCGTTCACCTGGGTCTACAGGGCAGCAGGCAGAACTCAGCTCCCACAGTCATGGTACAGGGTGTTTGTCCCAGCTGCCAAACAGAGAACCCTCCCTCTCAGGGGGAAGAGCCGCTGGGCCTCACCTCCAGCAGCAGTCAGGTGGCCGTTGAGGGCAATGTTTCGCTGGCACATGGCCAAGAGATCTGCACCGACATCTGGAACGACAGAAGGGCATGCCATAAAACGCCAGCCACCACCGCATTCCCATCTCCAGGCTCAAAAGCCTGACTGCAGAGAGGTGCAAAATGGAAAGTCGTTTCGCCTGTAGGCTTACTGCCAACATTAAGTATGTTCACTTTAAGTTCCTCTTTAACGACCTTTCCCTTCAGTAAGAGATGACGGTGCTGGTGGGGATGGACTCTGCAGTCCAGAGGGAAGGGGTGAAAGCTCCTGTTTTGAGTGTGTATGAAAGAAACAGGCATGGGTGTTTGGAGGTGATTCATTGAGACACAGGGCAGGTTCCTACACGCTGGGGGCACGCTCTTGGAGCATGACTCGTCACGGCCATCCCTGTCTCCTGAGCCGCCCATTGCTCTGACAAGGTGGCACTTCCCTCCATTTCAGCAGAACCAATCCTCGGTACCATGCATCCTTGATGGGGCATGGGGTGCGGGGGTGCAGGCATTTTACCAAACTTTGATTTTCACTTAGGAGAGTGTATGCATGGAAGGCACAGAAAGCTGTGTGAGTGACATTTGCCCGGCCCACTATGGCTGTGGACGTCCCAAGCCCGTCCCATCACCCACTGAGGACTCTCCATTCCAGGGAACATGCAGAGCCTGGGACACACCTATCCCTTTCCCGGGGCCACTGGGTAGAGAGAATATTGATGGTGTGTGCCTGATAGCACACAACCAGTTTAGCAGCTTGTAAATCTTTATGGGAGTTTTTGTTCAAATAGATCTTCTGTGGGATTTTAACATATAAAACAGGTAAGAGAGGAGCAGCTTTGGCCAAGTGGCAGTGGAAGACCAGAGACCTGGGGCTGCCGCCCAATTATCCCTTTGCCAGCCCCAGAGGGAGAGCACAGAACTCTGCTCCATGGAAACCAGTATGAACCATGGGCGCCTCCCCCACCCGCCATGTGATAGCGGCCGTGTGTATGACCTGGGGCCAGCATGTGACCTTACTCTTAGTCTGCCCATCTGGACAAAGGATGGTGACAGACTCCTTGACTACTGCCCAGGGTCACTATGAAGTCACAGGCCGGGGCTGAAGCATGTGAAAGGCTTTGCCAACTAGAACTTGCCATGTAGATAGATGCGAGCTCCCTTCTTTGTGCCAGGAAACCCCCCTCTCAAGGATAAGACAACTTGGTTATATGCTGCTGTTAGGCACCAGGCACAGCGCAAAGCTCTTGGGTGGTGTATGATGGCTTGACTCTGGGAACAGCTCGCTGAAAATTTGCCTGCACCCTGGCACAGAGCAGAACCGGGGATGCCCCGCACACTCCTGGCCAGTGGCCAATGCAAAGTATCTGGAAAGTGTGCCAGCATCACAGGCGATCCCTAACTTCCCTTTCCAGTCTCATAAGAAACACAGAGGCGCCATGAGGAAGGGAACTAGGAATCAACAAAGATGCAAACCACAGCAGCAGATGTCCCCTTTCTGCCCAGCAGACCCTGAAGATTTAAAGTGCAGTGACACTCCCCTGATGAGATCCTACCCTCTCATGAACTAGTACATGCTTTCAGAAAAAGCGTGTGGGCCAGAGTGGGGTGTAGTTGAGAGCACCATGCCCTTGGCAAATTGCGGATGTCACCACTGAACTGCGGGTACGTGACATAACATCACTGTGGTGGGCGGGTGGGGGGATCTATGGCACTTCCTCTAACATTTTAGCAGCTTCTACATGAGTCTAACACTACTTCAAAATAAAAAACTGAGAGTGGGGCATCTGGGTGGCTCAGTTGGTTGGGCGTTTGCCTTCGGCTCAGGTCATCATCCCGGGGTTCCCAGATGGAGCCCTGCATGGAGCCTTGCATCAGGCTCCCTACTCAGCAGGGAGTCTGCTTCTCCCTCTCCCTCTGCTGCTCTCCCTGCTCGTGCTGTACCTCTTTCTCTCAAATAAATAAAATCTTTAAAAAAAATTAAAAAAATAAAAAATAAAAAAACTGAGAAAGAAATCACTTGGCAATATGTATCAAAAGCTTAAAAAGGGAAGGGGTGCCTGGGTGGCTTAGTCGGTTAAGTGTCTGCCTTCAGCTCAGGTCATGATACCAGGGTCCTGGGATGGAGCCCCACATCGGGCTCCTTGCTCAGCGGGAAGCCTGCTTCTCCCTCTCCCACTCCCCTTGCTTATGTTCCCTCTCTCGCTATCTCTCTCTGTCAAATAAATAAAATTAAAAAAAAAAAAAAAAGAAAGCTTAAAAAGGGTCACACCTGCTTCTAGGAACCTAGTCTGAGGATCAGCAGACAATGGTGAACAAAGGTGTTCACTGCAGGGCAACTGACAAAGCTGCAAAGAGAAAAACAAAAACACCAAAACACATGGGAACAACCAAAATGTCCAGACACAGGAAAATGGTTAAAAAAAAAAAAGAAAAGATGAAACATTACCTGGTCATTCAGTCATATTTATAATTTCTAATGACTTTGGAAAATACTCTCGAAAAAATGTTTTTTCACATTTTTGGCAATGTAGAGCAATGAATATATAGTCTGATTTCAGCTACTATTTTGGAATATGTACATTCAAAGGAAAAGGGGAAAGATGATTAAAAAAAAAACCCATAGACAAACAGTTCAAGTAATGGTTCTAAAGCTCCCAGAGGACAGCAACTCTGTCTTACTCACTCCTGGATCTCCTGCATCTAGGACCATGTCTGCATACAGTGGGCACTCAATAAACTGTATACTGTTGAACGAATCTGGGGACTGTAAAAGTCTGAGTCAATTTGACTTGCTGTCCTAGGAAGTTTCCACAAAAAAATAGGCAAGACTTCTATAACAAGGAAAAAACATGAAGCCTGTTTTCAAGCCTTATAAAAGGCGGACCCCTCCTGGTTTTCTGAGATGTCCAGCTTTCGTGGGTGGGGCAGCGGGGCCTCCTGCACTGTAAGTGCTCCTGCACCTGGGCCGTGCTGAGCCATCCCGACATGACTGAGAAAACAACAGAGGGTGAAGAAAACCATGGAACGGGATAGCAAAATCTACAGCAGCCGAAGTTCAATTCCCGGCTGTTCCGCCTCACTTTCTGACATAGCAGGGCGCGCCCTGTGGGGAAACTACTTCCCCTCAGCCCGAGACGGTGGGCCTACCTGTGCAGTAAACGGTACGTGCCACGGTGGCTGCCATGATGCTGGCCAGCCCTGTGCCCGCCCCGAGCTCCAGTACGGTGCGTCCCTGGAAGAGGTCCCGTTGGAACAGGATGTAGTCAGCCAAGAGCAGGGCACCCCGCCACACCTGGGGGAGAGACGGACAAGGAATGACAGCTGACGTGAGGCTCCAGGGAGACCCTTTGGGGCCACAGGAAGTGGGCGGGACCTACCCACCTGCTTGCCAACATCCTCCAGGGGGGTGGCCATGGTGTGTTCTGGACAGGATGGAAACCAAAAGAGAAAGGGCTACTGTGAAAATGGGGACGGACAGAACACAGACAAGACAAGGTTGCAAACCTGTTGCAAACACAGCCGGATGGGTGCTGGAGTTGAGCATTCTCCAGAGTGGCAGAAACACGGGTGGTACGACAGTTGGGAGGGGCTGTGTGAGCGTCACTCACAGACCAGGCACAGAGGCTGGCTCCGATAACCGGGAATCTCTGCCCCTCAGGTGCTGGTCCAGCCTGGTCACACACACCGCGCCCTACAATCCACTTTACTGCACACTTGTCACAGTGTGTTTATGTCGTCTGGATCGGCTCTATGCTGACAACAGTCACGGTGCATTCTGCATGTTTCTCATGCTTAGAACCAGACCAGAAGTCAACAAAGTGAGTTTGAGTTTGTATCCCTTTTCAGGTGAACTATGATAAGATGTATTCTCAAGCACAAAATGTATTAGGATAAAATCTTGTGGTGGTATGGGGGGCGGGGAGAGAACAGAAATAGGAGACCGAAGAGAAAGAGGAACATGGCAAACATCTTTGCTGTTAAAGAACTGGCTCTCGCATTCTTAAGCAGGATGGGGATGGCTATCAAATTAAAATACGCACAACACGTGCACAGTGCCGGGGAGGGGGGGGCTCCATGTGCTTGTCAGACTTGCCCACATTGGAGCACATGCTCACAATGGAACAGGAGAAGGGACCGAGGGACCAAGACAGGGCAGAGAACCGCAGGGTCAGAAGCAGCATGGGTGATGCTGCCCACGCCCCCTTCATGAGGGTCTGCCCTACGAGGTGAGGGGGGCAGCCTGCATGCCCCTGCTATTTGGTTCCCCAACGGGGGGTTCGACCTCATGACCCTGAGATCAAGACCTGAGCTGAGATCAAGAGTTGGAAGCTCAACCGACTGAGCCACCCAGTTGTGCCTCCCCTCCGGGTATTTTTTAACTGGCTTCTCAGATGGGTCCACAACCTGAAAACAACAACCTGATCTGTGGGTCAGAGGAAAAGGGGGTCAGGAGACTGACATCTGCTTAGCGTCCACTCTGTACCAGGCCCCATACAGGCACGTATTTGGCATTACTTATTAAATGATCACCAAAGGGCAGTATCCTGGCCCCCAGTTTATAGGTGCAAACACGGGCTCTGGGTGAGCAAGACACTTGTAAAAGGTTACGGGGCTTGTGAGGGGTGGAGGTGGGTTAAAGCCCAGCTCTGCAGCGTGCCAGAGTCCAAGACCTGGTCCCTTATGTCACACCTTACAGATGGAAGCATACAGCTGGGGATGGAACACCCAGGGGTTATCCCTGTAGCTCGAGCATTTAATTGCCTTGCCACTCTGTTCCCGCAGGGTGGGAAGGACTGACAGCATGCTGAAAGGAAGGGCCTCACCATGAGGTCCGTGAGATGGGACAGGCCAGGCCCTCTGCTATGGGACTTTGCTCTCAGCCTGTGGGATGGTGCATTCCCCAGACATTAAACACACACACCAGAGGCTGAACCCTCGGTATAGAATAACCAAGTCTGCCACTCCTCCCTCAGGGAGGCCAGTTAAGTGAAAGCTGAGAGCAAAATGAGCCATCATAGCCCCCCCACGTCTCCCCAGGCCAGAACTTTCCAGTGTTCTGATCACATGACATAAGAACATGGGCTGTGGTGGGTGCCTGGGTGGCTCAGTCAGTTAAGCATCTGCCTTCGGCTCGGGTCATGGTCCCAGGGTCCTGGGATCAAGTCCCATGTTGGGCTCTCTGCTTCTTCTTCTCCCTCTGCTTGCCACTCCGCCTGCTTGTGCTGTGTGTGTGTGTGTCAAATAAATAAATAAAATCTTAAAAAAAAAAATGGAAAAAAAAAAGAACATAGGCTCTGGCATCAGACAGACCTGGGTGCGAATCATCACTCTGCCACTGACTGGCTGTGTGACCTGGGGCAAGTTCCTCAACCTTTCTGGGTCTCAGTTCCCACCTCTGTGAAATGGGAATGCTCATCTCTGGAAAGGCTGTGAGGAACAGAGGTAATCCACGGAAAGCACAGAGTAGGGTTCTGAGCAGGCACTCAGTAACTACTTGTATGGACATGTGGATGGAAGAGAGTTTGTTTTTTTTTTTAAGATTTTATTTATTTGACAGAGAGAGAGATAGAGAGAGCAGGAACACAAGCAGGGGGGGTGGGAGAGGGAGAAGCAGGCTTCCCGCGGAGCAGAGAGCCTGATGCGGGGCTCGATTCCAGGACCCTGGGATCATGACCTGAGCCGAAGGCAGATGCTTAACGACTGAGCCACCCAGGCGCCCCACTGCTGCTGTTTTTGAGGGTGCCCTAACTGACCCTGTGTCCCCACCCCATGCCAGTGCCCAGGCTTACTGGGGCCTCAGATACCATGAGGGACCCTGGATCTCAAGGAACAGACTCAACCCAGAGCTCTTTTCCCCCGAATGAGCAGTTCTGGGAGTGGCAAGAGTCGTGGCTGTGGAGATGGACATAGATTCAGAACCTTCCTCACTAACCCCCCCAGCTGCGTGGCTTCGGGCTTGGTACTTCCGATCTGTATACTTTCCCTGACCCACAAACACACTGGGCCCTGATCCACACCGTGGTGCCGTACTACTGGCAGGCGAGCCAGACTTGTATTTACCTATTCTGATGATATCCTGGGGGCTGCTCTCTTGTGCTTCGTCTGCCAGGGGGTCGTCTTCCTCCTGCGTTAGAATCGTGGGATGTACCTTGTCTCTCGGAGGCCCCGCTGGCTCGGGGTCCGAAGCTGCCCGTGGTCTCCTCTCGACGTCCAAATCTCCGTCCTCGTCCAGCCGAGCTCCCAGCCCCTCCTGGATGGTGGCGTCACTCCTGCAGCCACTCCCCAGAGGGGGTCTGGCACCAGCCGGCCCAGAGGGAGGCATTTCCTCTGCGGGACCCATGGCATGACGGCCACCCTCAACCCCTGAGTCTGTCTGAGAGTCTCGGTTCCACAGAAGCTTGAACTGGGACAGGAAAACTGCAAGGCAAGATGAACACAAAAGGAGAATATCTCCAAGCTGTCTCCTTCTTGCAGAAAATCTGATTTCCACCCGGACAGTTTTAAAGACCAGGTGGAGACATAGTAATGCCCACAGAAAAGGCTCATTTGACTCAGCCGAGGAGCTGGGGCCATTGAGAACGGCTACCACTTGATGAGCATCTATTGTGAAGGTGCTTGGCCCCCATATCTCAGCCCTCCCTGCCGCTATGTAGAGTGGTCCCGGCTCTACTTTACAACGTGGAAACTGAGGCTTAGGACAGTTAAGGGAGCCAACGAGACCACACAACTTTTGACATGCCAAGGCAAGACTCAAACCAGTCTGCTCAACTCCTAAACTGATGCCCTTCACACTACACCACTCCACCTGTTAAGGGCTGGAAGACAGGACAAGGACACCAAGTGGCCTTCCCCATTTGGTGGCTAGAATGTCACTGGGACCAGTTTCAGTAAGAGTATGTGTTCCAGAGGGCGGGCTGGAGGTGGGGGTGCAAGGGTTCAAGAGGACAGTCCTGGACTGCAGTCCTCCAACCCCCCAGGCTACCCGACCAGAGGCCAGCCACTCATCTGTTCTGGGTCTCCAGTTCCTGAACTCAGGGTCTAAACTGGGACCCAAGGGAAAGGGGAGTATTAATTACACCACAACAAGCTAATACAGAGTGATCAAAGCTGGGGAGGGTGGCCAGGGAGGACCTGTGTGAGGTGACATTTGGAGTCAGAGCTGGGAGGGAAGAATCTTCTGAGTCGAACAACAGCAAGGGCAAAGGCGCTGAGGGAGGAAGTGCGTGCAGTGTATGAGGGACAGAAGGAAAAAAGAAAGGTAAGTGTGAACACACAGGCAAGGGCTGGGTTGTGCTAGGCCTCACAGGCCAGGGTGAAGAGTCTGATTTTATTCTAAGAGCAAGGCAGAGCCACTGGAGGGTCTAAATCAGGGTGCTGATGTAATCTGCATTTTCTAAAGATCCCCTTGGCTGCTGGGGAGATGAGTAGGGGGAGGGTATGCAGAGCAAAGCCAGGGAGCCCCGGTGGGAAGAGCTGGAGGCCCCCAGCCAGGTGATGAAGGGGGCCGGACTGGGGTGGGGCAATGGGAGCCTGAACCCTGACTCCCGACCAGACCATGGGCTTCCTGAGAGCAGGGCTGGGCTCATTCCCTTATGCATTCCCAGCATCAAGTCCTGCCCACCTACCCCCAACCCTGTACAAAGTAAGTGCTCAGGAAAGCACAAGACTTCACTCAATGCAACAAGGGTACTTAAGAAGTGGTATGAGGATAACAGCTGAACAATGCAATCTACCTAGTCTTTTACCCAAAAAGAGGAGTATGAGAAAGCAGAAAACAAAATGAGATCCATGGGGCTGGGCCCCCTGGCACATGTCCAGGACCTTACCAGGCTGCCCCATGCCATTCAGCCGCACCATGAGGTGCCTGTGGTTCGGGGTGTAGAGGTGGACATCTGAGAGCACAGTGTCACTTTTGAAGGTGACCTCATCCATAGCTGGGGTGGGGGCCAGCCACCATGGCCGGGTTCCTCGTGAATCATGGGACAGCAGCACCTGGAAGGCAAGATCAAGTCCTCAGGACAGCAGGTCCCAACGGGGAACGGTATAAACACTCCCCAGTCCGGTGGTAAACAGCTTTGCATTACCCCAGGAGAAGACGCTTCCCTTTTTAAATTTTCTTATGTTTTTCCTAAAGTAGAAAGTCTCGGAGCCTTTGCAAGGGAAAAGAATCCAGCTAGAATTGTGTTATTTTGTTTGCAGTGTGTTCATTTGCACAGGAATCTTTTGTTTATGGCAAAGGATCTGAATTTCTATTTATACTGATAAAGTTTTCCTTCCCTTTTAATCTTTTCCAACTTCTTTATTGTGAAAGTTTTCAAATAGACAAGAAAGTTGAGGGCATAGCATAATAAACAGCCATATACCCACTGCTTAGATCCAGTGATCAACACCTTGTCATATGGGGTCAATTGATCTGTCTACCTGGGTTTTTACTCCCCTGAACTGAAAGTAAATTCTAGACATCACATTTTATCCCTAAATTCCTCTATAGTGTCTCTTAAGACATCTGTCACATAACCGTAAGACCGTTAGTAAATCTAAGATAATTTATGATTCCTTTGTACTGTTTAAAACCCCATCCCTGGGGCGCCTGGGTGGCTTAGTCATTAAGCATCTGCCTTTGGCTTGGGTCATGATCCCACGGTCCTGGGATCGGGCTCCGCATCCCTGGGATCTCACCCCACATCAGGCTCCCTGCTTCATTCCCTCTCTTGCTGTCTCTCTCTGTCAAATAAATAAATAAAATCTTAAAAGATAAAAAAATAAATAAAAAATAAAACCCCAGCCCTGTCCATAGCCAATTTTCTCCATTTCTCATGCAAATACCTTTTATAGCTGGTTTTCCCTAAAACAGTATTCAATCACAATTTACACTTTGCATTTAGTTATTGCCCCTTTGGTTTTTTCTTATCCTAGAAGTTGACTCCAATGGCCCAAATACCCTTTGCTGCTTTAAAACATTCTTTTTAAATTTAAAAAAGTGTGTGGGGGGAGTAGATTCAAAGGGAAAGCAACCAAGGCAATCACCGTACAGGTGATGTACAGATGTGGGAAATTATGCAGGTGACACAGCAATAACTGAAGTGTGGAAAACTACGCCTGCTGCAAAGAGGTCAAAACAGGAAGGCTTCCTCTCCAACCCGATGTTCTGCCTCATCAAAAAGCATCAAAAGGCAGCAACATGCATAGCCATGGGTTGGGATGCTGGGTGGAATAGGTGTGTAAACCCCAGTCTCCCACCTCGTAGCTATGTGACCTGGGGGAAATCATTTCACTTCTTTGGACCTGTTTCTTTAGCTATATATTCTCACCTTGCAGGGTTCCTGGGGTGTAAAGAACTGAGCAGAGTTCGTGGCCCACAGCGGTTGTTAATTCCTTGTGCTGGGGTTGGTTTCAGGCGTTTGGCCCAAACCTGCCCATAACCCCTGACCTCCTACAGGAGCTGTTCCTACCTGGGTAGGTGTGCACTAGCTGTGTGTCCTAGGCATGTCATGAAACCTCTCAGGCCTCTATTTCTTCAACTGGAAACTGGAAAAAAAATAACCCAGGCTGTCCTCATAGTTTGAGCACAAATAACTGGAGTTCCTACATTTAAGGACTTGCCATATGGAAACCAAAGTCGTACTTACACAAAAAATTTTTGTGAAAAAGCTGACCCCTTGTTAAATTAGTCTCCATGCTGACTCCCCCACTTGACACTAGAAGCCAGCACAGAGCAAGTGGGTTGTAAAGCGAGGCTGTGAATCTAGTAAAATGATGCAGGATTTCATGGTGCTGGTGAAAGTGACAGAGGAGACATGCTCCATCCTCAGGCAAAAGCCCTCAACCAATGAGGACTGGAAAAATTAGGCTGCATCCAAAAAGAGGACTAAATGTCTCTGTCTGGGAATGCTACAACTGGATGCGTTTTAGTCCCGTCTCCTCACTGGAGAAGAGGGAAGGAACACCCAGACTGCAGATGGGACCTCCCTCGCACCTCCATCACTAGGGTTTGAGTGCATTGGCTCTCTAAAGCCGTGGGGGCCAGACTCTGACGCTCTCAGCCTTTCTCCCCTAGGATTCCCCTCCAAAAGCAGTTTGCTGGGATCTGAGGATTGAAATACGTCCCCGCCTCCCAGGCTTTCCCTCTTTCAGGTGTCACTCTGCCCACTCATTCAACAATGGGGATTTGGGCGAAGTTCTGTGACAGTTTGTGTCCGGGCGCGGGATAATGCTGGGCAGGGTGTGAAGACTGGGAAGCTGGAGGGACCGCGGTCCGGGGGCGCGGGGGCGGCGCGCAGAGTTGGGAGTCAGGGGCTCCGGGGACCTCCTCCCCTCCCAGGGCTCCTCTTTCAGTCTTGCCGCCTCCCTGAACGCCTCTCAAAAGGCATTTACAGTTCGGCCTCGTCCTCCCTTCTTAATCCGGAAGCGAGAGGGCTGCTTGGGCCCGGACAGAAACCCACATGACAAGGCTCCTTCTCCCACCACCATTGCTCGACAGGGGACACTGAGGCCAAGTGGGGACTAGGGCTTCAGGTCGGTGGGGGCCCGGTTTCAAGGTTAGGCTCGCTGCCAGGAGGCTCCCTGCACTCTCCCCATCCTGCCGCCTCTCCCGAGAGCTTACCGGCCGCGGGCTGCAGGAGAGAGTCCGGACGAGTCCTCTAGCGGCCTGGTCTCAGGCGGCCGCCATAGTAGGCGGTCTGCGCAGGCGCGGCTACGCCCCCTCTGCGCGCGCCCGCCGGCGCCGCGCCGTGGCCACGCCCACCTGCCCGAGCTCCCCTGGCTACAGATTCCTCGGTACCCTTCCTAAACAAGAAGCTGTGGGACCTTGGTCCCTCGTATTTTGTGCCTTTCGCCATTCACGAGGCCTGACACGGACCTGCCATGTCGGGCCGTGAGGGTCCTACCGTAAGTTAGGACCCAGCGGCAATCCTACTTTGGGGTCACCTCTTCCAGGAGCCTTCCTTGAGTCCCCCTTCTCCAGCTCACGTTGACCAGTGTCTGGGCTCTCCGCATCAGAGCACCTGTGACTCTGGTTGTCAAAACATGTTTACCTGTCTCCATCACTAGGATTTTAGTGCATTGGGGGTAGAAGAAGCTGCAGGGTCACATCTGCAACCCAGGCTGGACTTCTCCGAAGCCAAAAGGGGAAATAGAATAATGCTTGTAAAGCGGTTAGCATCATCCTTGGCATGCTGTGAGCCCCTGAAAAATGGCAACTGTACTTATAAGTTATATATATATATTTTTGAGGAGAAGCTTTTATTTTTTAAATTTATTTTTTCTTTTTCATCATTATAAGTGTACTCTTTTTTTTCTTTTCAGATTTTATTTATTTGACAGAGAGAGCAGGAACACAAGCAGGGTAAGTGGGAGAGGGAGAAGCAGGCTTCCCGCCGAGCAGGGAGCCCGATGTGGGGCTCAATCCCAGGACCCTGGGATCATGACCTGAGCGAAAGGCAGACGCTTAACGACTGAGCCACCCACGCACCCCTATAAGTGTACTCTTTTATCCCCACCCTCCCACCCACCTCCCCTCTGGTAACAATCAATTTGTTCTCTATAGTTAAGAGTCTGTTGCTTGGTTTCCCTCTCTCTCTCTCTCTGTTTTTCTTTTGCTCATTTATTTTGTTTCTTAAATGCTATGTATGCGTGAGATCATGTGGTATTTGTCTTTTGTCTTTCTCTGGCTGATTTATTTCACTCAGCATTATACTCCCGAGCTCCATCCCTGTCATTGCAAATGGCAAGATTTCATTCTTCTTTATGGCTGAATAATATTCCATTTTATATCTACACCACATCTTCTTTATCCATTCATCATTCGATTGACACTTTGGCTGCTTCCGTATCTTGGTTATTGTAGATAATGCTGCTATAAACACAGGGGTGCGTGTATCTCTTTGAATGAGTGTTCTTGTATTCCTTGGGTAAATACCCAGGAGGGACATTGCTGGATCATAGGGTAGTCTATTTAATTTTTTGAGGAACCTCCGTACTGTTGTCCAGAGTGGCTGCACCAGTTTGCATTCCCACGAACAGTGTACAAGTGTTCCCCTTTCTCCACATCCTCACCAATACCTGTTATTTCTTGTGTTGTTGAGTTTAGCCATTCTGACAGGTGTGAGGTGATACCTCACTGTGGTTTTGATTTGCATTTCCCTGATGCCAAGTGATGTCGAGCATTTTTTCATGTGCCTGTTGGCCATCTGTATGTCTTCTTTGGAAAAATGTCTGTTCATGTCTTCTGCCCATTTTTTACTCAGATTATTTATTTTTGAGGTGTTGAGTTGTATAAGTTCTTTGTATATTTTGGATGCTAACCCCTTATCAGATAATCATTTGCAAATATGTTCTACCATTCCATAGATTGCCTCTTAGTTTTTGTTGCTTGCTTCCTTTGCTGTGCAGAAATTATTTTGATGTAGTTCCAATAGTTTATTTTTGCTTTTGTTTCCCTTACCTCAGGAGACATATCTAGAAAGAAGTTGCTACGCCTGATGTCAAAGAAGTTACTGCCTGTGTTTTCCTCTAGGATTTTTATGATTTCAGGTCTCACATGTAGGTCTTTCATCCATTTTGAATTTATGTTTGTGTGTGGTGTAAGAAAGTGGTCCAGTTTCATTCTTTTGCACGTAGTTGACCAGTTTTCCCAACACCATTTGTTAAAGAGATTGTCTTTTTCACATTGGATATTCTTTCCTGCTTTGTCAAAGATTAATGGACCTTATAAGCTATTATTGTTGCTTACAGCAGTTCATCCACGTGGTAAACACCCCAGATGTGCTGGGGGCGGGGCACATGCAGACCATCTGGTCAACAGGCCTGGTGAATCTGTTCTTCATCCTTCTAAGCCCTGCAAATGTGAGCCATGAAACTGTTGCTAATGTCCTAGGGCTGCTGTAATAAGTCACCACAAACACGGTGGCTTAAGTCAACAAGAAGTTATTTTGCCAGAGTCCTGGAGGCCAGAAGTCCGAAATCCAAAGGCTCTAGGGAATGATCCTCTGTATTAGTCAGTTCAGGCCACTGTAACAAAACACCATAGACTTCATGGCTTAAACAACAGACATTGATCTCCTCATGGTTTAGGAGAATGGGAAGTCCAAGACCGAGGTGCCAGCATGCTTGGGGTCTGGTGAAAACTTTCCCCTTGGGTTGTAGACAGCACCTTCTCTCAGCCATCACCTGGCTTCTGCTTTGTGTGCATAAGGAGAGGGAGGAAGCTCTCTGGTGCCCCTTCTCAGAAGGACGTGAATCCTCCTCCGTGGTCAGGCTCTACCCTTATGACTTCACTGAACCTTATTTACTTCCTTAGAGGCTCTATCCTTCAAACACAGCCTCACTGGGGGCTGGGGAGGGACATATGAATTTGGGGAGGGACAAAAACATTCAGTCCACACCACTTCCTTGCCTCCGTCGTTGCTTCTGGTGGCTCTCAGCAGTCCTTGGCGTACAGATGCATCACTCCCAATTTTTGCCTCTGTGTATGTGTATGTCTAAATGGCCTTTTGGTAAGGGTACTAGTTACTGGATTAGGGTTCACCTAATCCAGCATGACCTCGTCTTCACCTTATTACATCTGCAAAGACCCTATATCCAAATAAGGTTATGTTCAGGTGCAGGGTCAGGACTCGAACATATCTTTTGGGAAGACACAATTCAACCCACAATAGAAACTATCTTGGAAGGGATGCCGCCCCCCCCCCCCGGCCCCCAGTCCTCCTGGCTAAGGCTCCCAGAACAGAAACAAGCTAGCCCCCCTGTGCCCTGCAGGAATTCCTGACCCACAGAATCCATGAACATAACAAAAGGGTTATTATTTATGCCACTAAATGTTGGGGTAGTTTGCAACACCACAGGAGCTTATCAGAATAAGGGGGAGTGAGAGCCAGCCCTTCTTTGCAGGATTCTGTAGGTGGGGGCAAGGGGAGAGGTCCCTCCCCATTCCACTGCTCAGTTATTTATAAGCCACTCTGCTGGCCCCTTCTTATTCAGGTCTTCCTTCATCCACACGACCACCCCCGAGGCTCAGAGAGATGAAGGGCCTTACCGGAAGTCACCCAGCAGAGCTGGCATGCAGACTGGTCTCCCAGATGTCTGAGCGGGCGTGCTGGATGAAGCCTAGGCCAAAGGCCCTTTTCTGTATGCCTCTTCCCGTGAGCGGCTCTCCCAAAGCTTGGCAGCACAAGGGTTATGGTGCCAGCCCACGCATGCCGGTATGTACGTTATCCCCGCCGCCTGGGCTAATGACAGATCATGTATGCAACAAAGGAAGGCGGACGCACTGCGAGATGTATGATAAGAAACCAGCTTGCAGGAAATTGCTGTCAGGTGATTATTATTGGCTCGGGTATTCAGAGCAGGCCCCTTTCCAAAGGTCGTGTGTTTACCAAATGCTTGATGTGTTTTCCCAATCAGCTCTAGACGATTTTATCCTCCCGAGGGAGAGCTCTTCCCCTCAGACTGCTGACAGCCGGGTGATTATAATTCTGCCCCCCTGCCTCCCGCTAGCTTCTAACACCACCTGCTACAAATGCACAGCGGTCGCCTGCCTCTCTGGTTCCCTGTTCTGTGTGGAGAGGCACCAAGCTGACCTTCGGGTGCGCCAGCGCTGGGTTCAAATCCACAGCAGGGCCACTGACTAGTCCTTTCCACTCGTTCAACACTGAATTGCGGGGAACGTTTAACATACTAGGTGGTAGGGCGAGTTACTTCCCTGGAACTTAACATTCTAATTTCTTGAGTATTGATGATCATACCCATCTTTGAGAGTGAGTAAAAGAGAACACGAGGAAGGTTCCAGGCTCGACTCTCCTGCCTCCCTGGGGGTAACCTGCCAGCCTCTGTTGCAGTTTTAAAGACCCCACTAATTTCACTAATTTTACCAAGTCACATTAGATTAAAAAAAATAAACAAGTTACAGGGCCGTACAGACTGTATAAATCTTATGTATGTGAGAGAAAACGCTCACAAAATATTACATTTGTCCTCCCCCCCCCCCCCAGGATGTATGCAGCTTATGTGAATGCACAAAAAGAAGTCTGCAAAGATGTCTTCAAACTCAAGTAGTGGTTTCTTCTTGGGGGAAGGTAGGGTGGGGACAGGTCCGGGAGGACTTCCAGCCTCGGGCTTCTGGCCTCCAGAACTCTGAGAAGGAAATCTCCGTGGTTTATGAGCCACTCCGTCTTTGGTGTGGTGTTACAGCTGCCCGAACGAGCGAGGTTATGAATCGGGGGATTTAGTGTCTTCATGAAGCTCTATAGGTGGCACCACCCTTTCCTTCCAGAACGTGCTCATCACCCCAGAAATAAACTCGGAGCCCACGGGCATTCACTCCCAATTGTCCTCTTCCCTGGCAGTGCCTAATCTGCTTTCTGACTATGGATTTCGCATAAATGGAATCCTACAATATGCCCTCTTTTGTGTCTGGCTTCTTTAACTGAGCATATATTTTCCAAGTTAATCCATGTTGTAGCATGATTCATTACTTCGTTCCTCTTTAACGGCAAAATGATATTTCATCATATGGACAGACCACATTTTATCTGTGCATTTGTTGCTGGATAGGCATTTGGTTGTTTCTACTTTTCTTGGCTGTTATGAGTAAGGATGCTATGAATATACATGGAAAGTTTTTATATGGATATAAGTTTTCCTTTCTCTTGGCTGCATACCGTGGAGTGGAGTTGCTGGGTCTTAGGGTAA